AACATACAATAGCCAAATTGTTACACAACACCACCAAATCATAACAGCCGTTGCCATGGGTGTTATATACTAGAAATTGTATTTATGAAGTCACAGCCAAAGACTTTAGATTTCTATTGTTTCCTAGGAATATCTGGAAATCCAAATACTTGCTTATTATTTACAGTGGCCATGCTACAGAAGTTTACCATGTGTGAAATTTTTGTATTTTGACACCAAGGAGAACCCTGAAAAATCCACTTCAGGAAAATGATAGAACATGCACCATAAGATAATTCAATGCCACTTACGTATCTATGTATAAGATATAAGACCTGTGGGTATGAACAATATCTCCTAGTTAACTCAATAAGCAGCAAAAAATCTTTCAAAAATATCATGTGCATTAGAGACGTACAGTCCACTGTCTATAAAATCTTCATGGCGTTATGAATTAAGAAGAAAAAAAAAAATCACAGAAGAAACCCCTGCTTAGTCAAGCAAAATGAAAAACAGAAAAATAATCAAGCCACGTAGCTTAGTAAGAGTTAGGCTTTTTAAAAACAAACAGCTTCCTTGTTTGTAATTTTCTGTAGTGTTGCTAATAGCAGAACAGAAGAAGAGTTTAAATGACAGTAGCTTTTTTTTTTATTGTATAAGCATTAATTGTAAGAACAAGATGAAGATTGCATTTCAAGCAGAGATTCACACTATATGCTATATATAAAAAATATAATGTATTCGTCCACAAATTGTACTTTGAATACCAAACACATTTTCTAAACATTTCAAAGTAAATACGCCAATTAAATTAGAAATGAAAAGTAACACTTTGGGAATTAAAACGAGAACTTCAGGTTGTAGAGTCAGACTTTTTGACCTCCTTCTGAACTTGGCACAGCAGCATCATTCAAATTTCCCGTACAGTTAACTAGCAGAAATCCTGTGTATTTGAATATGTATTTTTAAGTCTACATGTAATAGTCATAACTGAATACATCATGCCTTCTTCATTAGCAGAAGCCTTACCAGTGTTGTTCTATGCAGGTATAAACTAGTCTGTAAAAATTAGTTTACTTTAAGGCAAATGCAGGTTATTAAAGTCTACATCAATCATGGGTTTTTTGCACAATGTACTGGATTGAAGAATCCTAAAAGTACATTTCCACACTTGCGCATCTCTTATAATTACATTGTTATTCTGTTAAATTTGATCTTAACTCTGAACTTCTGGATTTACAATGCTGGAGATAATTTACAATCTGGTGATAATTACAACCACCTTGTTATACAATTTGCTCCAAAATCCTGACAAGTACTCCCAGCTATAACACCATTCAAATGTGCTTTGGTGTGTTTTATACCTATCCAGGTTGAAAAGAATCAACAATTAAGTAGTTATAGGGAACTGTTCTGGCTATACAGCATGTTTGGATATTTTTTTTCCCCCCCACAGGCTGAACAACTACAGATTGCCCAGTTTTTTTGTGTTACAATGGTTTTGGAGTAAAGGGTTTGAGGATCCGACTTTTAGAGGTAGCAGGCACCCAGTCTCCATTGAGAATCGATGTCCAAGGGTTCCTTTTAAAACAAACAGTAAAATTCCTGTTTGCTTATGTTGTGTAAGATTGAGTAACAAAACAGCAGCTTAGAAAGCAAACTCTTACTGAAGCGTAGAAGTTACAGATGCAGTAATGAAGGTTTAGCAAGTCTCCTGATAAAATCATGCAACAGGTTACTTGAGGATAGTCTGGCTGCTAACTGAGACTTTTGAGATTTTTCCTTTCTAGATTCTGCTGAATTATCCCACCTAGTGATTTACTCTTACAAATATTTAGGAGCATCTGTTTTGCTTTTTAGGATAGATGAAATCTGGCATTTCCCCTTAATCCTCACAGTTTCAAGTGCTAATTGGTACGATCTTTTCATAAGCTGGACACTGAGCAATAAACTCCGCTCCTGCAGCTACACAGGAACACTGTTAGACGGGTCTTGGTGACTGCCCAAGAGGGTGCACCTATGATGCTCTCTTTTTACATTCACAACACAGGAACTAGTGTGCCTCCAGATGATCCATTTGCACCCACCTTACACTGCATGGAGCAGCCCAAGAACAAAATCTCACAGACCTTTGTGGCACTTCTTCTGACTTTGGACACAACTCATCGTTCATACCTAGAATCCTCCAGCCACAACATAAAGAGAACTGGCTGACTGCTGCCATTGCCTGTCAGTATCTTCTAGCAAAAAAGAAAAAGATAAAAAATGCTGAATGGGGGTCGAAAGTCTGAACTATACTGGTTCATATTTGCATCTGACAAGCCTCAGAAGAAAGAGCAGACAACATGCATCCTCCTTTCTTCCTCCCAACTTCCTGAAGCTTGTTCCTGGGGGCTCCTTTGTCACCACTGTAGCACGTGTCCAGAAGCTGCAAGGTCCAGAATCAACACAACTGTGCGATATGGCACAAATGTCATGTTGAGGACAAAAGGAAAATCCTTCTTGGGAAAGAACATGTGTATGAGTGTCCATACAGGGGCAGCAGGGAGAGCTCAGAGTATTTTGAAATTGCGCCTCTAACTGGGAAGCATGAGCTAGGATGGCTGGGCCCTGCTGTAAAGGCTCCACAGAAGAGACAACTGTTCTCCACAGAAGCCTCAATTTTCTACGCCCTTGGGCCAACAGCACTGACCTTTAAACAGTGTGCAAGTAGACAGAAGGATGCGATTACACCCCTGTACTCAGCACTTTAAACCCTTATCTGGAATACTGCATCCAGTCTCGGGCTCCCCTACACAAGACATGTTTATAGACTGAAGTGAATTCAGCAGAGGGTCACCAGGGGCTGGAGCACTTGAGCTTTAAGGAGAGGCTGAGGGAGTTGTGCTTGTTCAGCCCAGAGGAGGTTACTGAGAGGACAGAGGCAGGCTCTTCACACCGCTGTGAGGCAGAGAGTATGATACATTCAATTAAAACAGCAGATGGAAAAAATTCTTTACCACAAGGACTGTCACACATTGGATCATGTTGCCCCAAGAGGCTGCAGAACTGCTATCTTTGAAGGTTTTCAAGACTCAGCTGGAATAAAAGCCTTGAATTACCTGGTCTCAATTCACTGTTGACCCTGCTTTGAGCAGGAGGTTGGCCTAGATGACCTCCTAAATCCCTTCCACCCTGAACAATTCTGATAACACCAGCAAATGCGCACACATCCCTTCCACTTCTTGCACCTCCATCCCCCAAACAAGCCTGTTGCCTGTTCAGCAATAAGAAAATGAGTCAACCTCTAATGACTTGTGAGACTCAGGAGAGTACTGGTTGCACTACACCTGGGAGCTACCAAAGGGAAATTATATCAGGCCCATAAAGCACATGGAATTGGCTATGCAGACATGCTCTATTTGTCTGGTATCACTTTGGACTTTGGTGCAGCTGGCCACTACATGGATCTAGGCTGTTTGGCAACTCTGGCTCTGATGGCTTACCCCAAGGGTCTCATAGTCTGTGAAATGACAAGTACTTGTCATTTCCTCTTGTCCTTGTGGGAGATCATTTTCCCTTCTGCTGCAGCCACTGATGTAGCCCTCCCACTGAGAAAGCCTGGTCTGGGGTATTTTGACTCCCAGTGTGGTCTGTGTGCTTCTGAGGAGGCATTTTGTGTGCACAGGCCCATGGGCACAATGTGAGAACACAATGGCACAGGTTCTGCAGCGCTGCATTACAGACATGCATGGTGAATTCTGCTTACTCTGATCAGACTAATTCTGGAAAACAGGGTCAGTCAAGCTCTCTGAGAGCACACACAGGTACAGCATCTGCCTGGCTTTAGGTTCTTCCCCTGGCACTCCACAAGAGATCCTGTAACAATGCGCTTCAAGGCCAAGGAAGTGTAGACACTCTGGATTTTACGTTCAGGGTGAAGCAGGGCTATATGAGTGCAACCCACACATTTGCAAGAACAAGCTATATATACTTCTTGCAAAGTGCTGTTTAAAACAACTTTGTTCTTTTGTGGATGTATAATCATGGAAGTGGTTTTATTTTAAGGGCAAGCACACAAATTGATTACTTGTTCCCAGACATACATTATTTGGGGACTTACATATTAGCCCTATCATAGGCTAGTGGATACTGTATTTTCCTGATAATCTTCCTAAATACTGATAAGAAACCTCTTGAAGAAAGGCCTGATCCTAGAGAGGATGCTCTTCACACCAAGGGCCTTGAGCAGCTGATGTACTCATTAACTTAAAAGGACATTAATTTAGGCCCTACAGAAGAAAATGGGATAAAACCAAATTTATGAAAATTAACAAGGGGAAGTATATCAAATTAAGCTGATGTAAAATGTGATCTTAAAAACCAGTTTAACCAAATTAGAGTTGTAATCAAGTTCACCTAATTGCTCAAAATTCACAATTGTTGGCGTTATTTTAAAAAATATATACTTTTACTTAGAAAAAATAATTAGCACTTTGTAGCTTTTTCTTCAGTGATCATTGAACTAAGTTACATACAGAAACAAAGAATCATTGCTATTTTACAGGTCAGTTACAGCAATGTAAAATAACTTGCTTAAAGTTGCTCAACCATATCAATGACATAGTAAGAAACAACTCAGAACTCAAAATCACTGGATTCTCAGCTTCAGAATGTTTTAAAGGTTAGTTTTAAAAATTTAGACACTGTTATCTTGCTGTGTGAGTACATGGAACTTCACATGTGTGGTAATCACCTTGAACTCAAAAAGTTTGCAGGGTAGTTTCTTTGGTTTTATGCAGACTAAAAAAGGGTTACAGAGAAACACTTCAATAGAAACACTGTCAATGCTGTAAAATGCAGCCCTGGGAAATGAAGATAAAGCTATCATTTGTATTAACTATTCAAAAGCTCACCAGAAAGTCAGATACACATATACACAACTGAATAAGCAGAATCAAAAGCATCAGTAACTGCAAGTCTGCAAGAGCTGAAGTAATGTCTGAATAACACCCTTCCAAATATCCTCATGTTATCCTTACCAGATTAATCAGTCTTCTCATTGCATGTTCATGTGAGCAAATGCATTCACAAGGATCAAATCCGCCTTCTGCCATGGTCTCTGGATAAACCTGAACTTGCCTGTGAACACCTAAGAAGAATAAGAATAAAAGGACAATGAACTCTTTTTCAACTGACCTTATTTTCCAGAGACTCACACATCAAGTTTCAGTTCATTTAATACCAGGGTGAAAAAGCAAAACAAAGCAGGGTAATCCTATTATTCCTTTGGCAGCGTGAATGAAGAAGTCTGGTATGTGCAGTTACATTTTGGTGTTGCTGAAAGCACTGTCTCACACAGGCTTCCTTAGAGAGCCAAATAATTTTTTCGCAAGAATTTGTGTGCCTCCCCTGGGCTTTTTCCACATACCACTGTGATATACATCCTAACAAACAAGAACCACAAAGATTAAATTTTGGTTTCTCATCTGCATAGTGGGACTCCTAAGTGCATGAATACAATTTGAAGAGTCAGGGCAACTTGTACACCTAATCCCCTAACAAACTGCTGGCATTCTCCCTCTGGATCAATGTACAGGAAAATAATTTAAACCCTGGTAACTTCTTTGCTAAAGGGAGAAACAATCACCCTTATTGTATAATGAAAGCAAGCAGCAGGGGTGCAAAAGTGGATGTACTTGGAAACACTTAAAAATGGAGCTACACACACTAATTTTAGATCAGAGAAGTAGGTCATTCACTTAGCAATACAGAAAGTTCAAAGAAGCTGTAATGGACATGGTGGGGAATCAATTCTAGGTTATTCACCTGCTAAAACCACTTACACCAGACATGTCAAGCATATACCAGGGTACCTTTACTATTTACTAACAGCTTTCTAAGAGACTTAACTGATGGTCAAAATGGGTAGCAGATGGGTAGCAAGGCATTTCTACCTTTGTGGTTTAAATCAGGGATTGATTTGTCTCAAGTGAGGATTCTTATGATTTCTTATATCAGTTCTGTGTAACAATACTTTCAAAATATTTTTGTTAACTTGGCATCAATAAAGCTAGATTCAGATTGTGTTTGTGTTGCACACACTGGGGCCCTCATGTGAGATAGCTGGCAAGCTTAATAAATGCAGCAGCATTGAGCAGTTACATCCTCTCAGTTTCCTAAAACAAGTAGTTCATGAAGGTGCCAGACATTTGGTAAGCATGTGCTGAATCAGCAGATGTGTTCTACAGCCATCACCTATAAAAACTTACAGCCTTGATCACACACAAGTATTTTAATGTTTTAACCTTACTAGGAGAAAGAGGAATAACTCATATGGCTATAAGATATCTTCATTCAACAGGATGTATCATCACAATAGTTCCTGCCTCTTGGGGGAAGAAAGAGACAAAAAAAAAGAAAATGTGTTTCAGAAGTCCTTCCTCTGTCAAAGCCTACCACTCTTCTGTATTATCCTCTGCCATGGTAGAGACAGACAGATAGTAAAAGAAGGTAAGAGATATCCATATCTTCATTACGAAGTCTGAACACCAGTGCCCTTATCTGCTAGGGTCTCCACTTTTTAAAAAGAATACTGAAAAGTAAAAAAGAGGAAAAAAAGTTCAAGGGATGGAGGAAAGGCTTTTTGCCTAAACACTAAGAAAGAGTAATCTGGCAATGTACTGAGAAGACAACTGAGAGGTGACTTGATTATGCAGAGTACAAATACCTTTGCATAGAAAACTAAACCTGAGTATTGAGAAGTTCTTCAGTGAAGAGGTGACCAAGAACCAATGACTGGAAGCTGTAATCAACCCAATTCAAAAGAGAAGCAAGGCATACGTTTTTACCATTAGAGTAACACAGTGCAACAAACTGCCAAAGAAGGGGTGGGGTTCCCATCTCAACGCATTCAGAAGTGCTTCAGCCAAATACAGGTTATTGAGTAAAGTACAGAAGCACTCAAGTTTAGATATAATGTCCTTCAATATACAGGAAATCACAGATGATCTAATGATTCTTTTTGAGAGTTAATTATAAAGCTACTACACTAACTT